GCCGAGCCTCTCTCTCTTTTTAAGAGAGTGCCAAACTTTCCTCTCTGTGTTGCCCAGACTAGAATGTCATGGTGTCAGCCTGGCTCACAGCAACCTCAGACTCCTGGGTTCAAGCCATCCTACTGCCTCAGCCTCCCAAGTAGCTGGGACTACAGGCACCTGCCACCATACCTGGATAATTTTTCTATTTTTGTACTGGTGGGGTCTTGCTCTTGCTCAGGCTGGTCTCAAACCCCGAAGCTCAAGGGATCCTCCTACCCTGGCCTCCCAAAATGCTAGGATTACATGCATGAGCCACTGCACCTGGCTGCATGTACTCTTTTTAACTGGCTTCTTTCACTAAGTATGTTTATTTGGAGATTCTGTTGCATATATCCATAGTTCATTTTTGTTGCTGAATAGTATTCTATGGTATGTATGTACCACAAATTATTTATGCATTCATGTGCTTAGAGACATCTGATTGTTTCCAGTTTCTTCTTCTTCCTTTTTTTTTTTTTGAGACAGAGTCTCATTCTGTTGCCCTGAGTTCAGAGTGCCCTGCTGTCATAGCTCACAGTAACCTTGAACTCTTGAGCTCAAGAGCTCCTCTTGCCTCAGCCTCCCGAGTAACTGGGACTACAGACAGTCACCACAATGCTCAGCTAGTTTTTCTGTTTAGTAGAGACGGCGTCTTGCTCTTGGTCAGGCTGCTCTCTAATTCCTGAGCTCAAGCAATCCACCTGTTGCAGCCTCCCAGAGTGCTGGGATTACAGATGTAAGCCACTGCGCCCTGCTTGTTTCTAGTTTCTGACAGTTACAAATAAAGCTCCCACGAACATTTATGTTTGTGTTTCTGTGTGGACATCTGTTTTTATTTCCCTTGGATAAATACCTGGACGTGGAATGGCTTACTGTTTATTTTGATGTTCAAATTACCTTGGGTAGCACCTTTGAGCTGGCCCCTGTCTCCTTTTGACGTGACCTTGATGTGACCCTTTGAGCGTTTTCTTACTTTCTGCCACAAGAAGATGTTCTAGGCTCATCTTACAATTTTCCCTGTTCAGCCCTGAACTTGGCCACTTTTCCAAGCTCTGGTTCTTGAATGGAGGATGGTATTTAAAAACCAAGATCTGAATATTGGGTGTTTTTACTGCTAGTGGGAAGAAACCGCTCTTGGGCTTTCTCTCTGGACACAGATTTGCTCTTTCCTATTATGAGTGAGGTTGAATTTTTTTTTTTATCTGATTAAGAGCTTCTGTATTTCATTTCTGTGAACCTTCCTTGCTTGTTTTTTTGTATGGGTTGTTGATATTTTTCTTGTTGATTTGAATAAATTCTTTATATTATCAGGGAATTAGCCACTTTTCTATGATATGAGTAGCAAACATTTTCCCCTTGGTTTGTTGCTAATATTTTAATTTTTTTATTAAATCATAGCTGTGTACAATAATGTAATCATGGGGTACAATGTGCTAGTTTTATATACAATTTGAAATATTTTCATCAAACTGGTTAACATAAGCTTCACGGCATTTTCTTAGTTATTGTGTTTAGACAATTATATTCTACACCTGTAAATTTCACATGTACCCTTGTAAGATGCACCTTAGGTGTGGTCTCACCAATTATCCTCCCTCCACCCATCCTCCCCCCTCCCCTCCCCTCTCTCTCCCCTTTCCCCTTCTTCTTGGGCTATAATTGGGTTATTGCTTTCATAAGAAAGCTATAAATTGGTTTCACAGTAGGGCTGAGTACATTGGATACTTTTTTTTCCATTCTTGAG